CAATTTTTTTCATATATATGTTTTATCTCCATTCTTCTCTGAAGTCTCAATTTTTAGTTAATTATGTCGAATCAATATTCGATTTTGTTTTTCTAATAAAAGATTTTATCATTTTCATGATTATTTTCATCATCGTCATCGTCATCTTCATCACCATCTTTACTAGCGGCGTCATAATTTTGATGACGTCATATCACAACCGGCCAATCAGCGGCAACAACGCAGAGTATCATCTTTATAACGGTCATCATCATCCTCATCAACTTCACCATCATCTGTATCATCACTCACCATCATTGTTATCATCACCATCGTCGTCGTCGTCATTAGCATCATCTTAATGACGTCATCTCAACCAACCGATCGATAGCTGTAACGATAAAGTAGCAACATAGAGAATAAAAATATCGACAGATGGAACGCCGCATGGATGAATGTTATGTTTCAGTTACATCCGCTCTATAATTAGAAATAGTAGGAGAGAAAAAAAGAGAGGAGGAAAGAGAGAGAGTGGGGGAAAGAAAGAGAGAGTAAAAGAGAGAAAAAGAGTGAGAGAGAGAGAAAGAAATAAAAAAGATTGAGCGAAAAAACTTTGAAATTATTGAATAAGTATAAGAATATCAAATTAAATTAGAAAATAAGTGAGTGAATGAATGAATAAATCAACTAACTGACCAATTAATCAACCAAACAACTAATTAACTAACCAATTAACCAATCAATTAAACAACCAATCAAACAGCTAACCAACCAACCAACTAATCATTAACCAATCAACCAACAAACCAGCCAACTAACCAACTAACCAACCAACCAATAAATTAACCAATCAGCCAATCAACCAATTGCCTAACCAATTAACCAATCAACCAACCAACCAATCAGGGCCTAGAATATTCTGACAAGTATAGCATCGAATACAGGAGGCTGAAGGATGGACCCTGGATTAAATACAAAGATAGAAGAGGAAACGAGGTTATTATTATTTTATTATTATAATTATAATTATTATAATAATTATTATTATTATTATCAGTAGTGAGAGCAGTGGTAGTAGTAGTAGTAGCAGTAGTAGTAGTAGTAGCAGTTGTAGTAGTAGTACTGGTGGCGGTATTTTTTGTGTTATTCTAAACATCTCAAAAGCATTGGATCAATTCACGCTTTGTGTTCAAAACTATACAACATACTATCTAAACATCTACACACGAACACAAACACACACATACAGACACACATACATACATAATACATACATACATACTTACATACATAATACATACATACATACTTACATACATACATACATACATACATACATGCATACATACATACATACATACATACATACATACATACATACATACATACATACATACATACATACATACATACATACATACATACATACATACATACATACATACTACATACATACATACAAACGAAGATCTAACGCTTTTGTCCATCATCACTTCGAAGTATAATAAGAGAGGCGAGATTTAATAGCCACTTTTCAACAAATAAATAATTAAATGAATAATTGGGGAGATAATTACAAATTATATTACATAAAAATCATCCTACATTAAATTCAATTCAATAATTAGTTTATTCAGTAAAAAAAACTGTGATATTTCTACACATATAAACAAACAATCATCCAAACAAACAAACATATATAGACACGTACAAACAAACAAACATATACACATACAAACAAACAAGGAAACACAAACACACACACACACGTACATAAATTAGACGTATGTTCGTTAAATTTATTGTTAGCTTTGCAGTTGAACATCAAATAAAAGCGTGATGCTATGCGGGCTTCTTATAAGAATGTTTATTGAAAGTTAAACTGTTTAAGCGATACATCTTTCGTGTGTATATACATGCATACAAACATACATACATACATACATACAAACATACGTACATACATACATACATACGTACATACATACATATGTACATATGATATAGATGTTAATGTTTGTATTCATACCTTGGCTCTGCAGCCAATCAATCATAGGCTATTATCTTTCCCTTTGTCATTCATCCATTCTTTTGTTCTTTCTTTCATTCGTTCGTTTCTTAATTCTTTTCATTTTCTCATTCATTAATTCGATCTTTTATTCATCAACCGTTCATTTATTTGTTCGTTCGTTCGTTCAGTTTTTTTATTTGATAATCTATAAATTTCTTAATAAGAATTGTTGTTTATTTGTTTGGTTAATCATTCATTCATTCATTCATTCATTCATTCATTCATTCATTCATTCATTCATTCATTCATTCATTCATTCATTCATTCATTCATTCATTCATTCATTCATTCATTCATTCATTCATTCATTCATTCATTCATTCATTCATTCATTCATTCATTCATTCATTCATTCATTCATTCATTCATTCATTCATTCATTCATTCATTCATTCATTCATTCATTCATTCATTCATTCATTCATTCATTCATTCATTCATTCATTCCATTCATTCATTCCATTCATTCATTCATTCATTCATTCATTCATTCATTCATTCATTCATTCATTCATTCATTCATTCATTCATTCATTCATTCATTCATTCATTCATTCATTCATTCATTCATTCATTCATTCATTCATTCATTCATTCATTCATTCATTCATTCATTCATTCATTCATTCATTCCTTCATTCATTCATTCATTCATTTGTTCATCCACTCATTTGTTTTGATATTCATCCTTTTCACATTTCAACACACCACATGCACACACACACACACACGCGCGCGCGCGCACACACACACACGAAAATGGTAAAAGTTGTTTAAGTCACAATGCAAATGACTTCATAAAATTCAATTTGCACATGAAAAAGTATTACCACAGCGATGACGATGATGACGACGATGATGGTGATGACGATGATGATGGTAATGATAATTAAAAAAGTTATGATGATGATGATGATGAATAATTTAATTATTGTTTAATAATGCTTAATTTAAACTGAAAATCACCAAACTTTTTAAGAACAGTAGATAGTAATGAAAACCAGAAAAAAAGCAGAGAGAGAAAAAGGAAAAGAGAAGGAAAATAAAAACAAAAAGAAGAAAAAAGCGAGAGAGAGAGAGAGAGAGAGAGAGATAATTATTAGGCAGGTTTAGCATTAAAACAGAATCCACGTTATGTTTTCTAACTTGCAAATCCATATAAGTCCTACTGAATTATTTAGTCACGGAAACAACTTCTGCTACTACTACTACTACTACTGTACTACTACTACTGTACTACTACTACTATTTTTGCTGAGCTGCTACTACTACTACTACTGCTGCTACTACTACTGCAGCTGTTACTACTACTACTAATACTACAAAAGCCTTCCTCTTACGAATATTGTAAAAAAGTATCGCGTCATTCATTGAATTATTCACGAAACAATTACACATGGAAGGTAATAATTTTTTTTTCTTTCTAAAAACTTTTTCCCGTCTTTCCATTTTTTTTATTTTTTTATTTTTCCAATGTATTCCGATTTCGATATTTTCTCAAAGTAGGCACTCAAAATGGCTCTAGCACCAACCACTGAGTCACAACATGCTCTTGAATGTTCTAGTTTTTTTTTTTTTTTTTTGTTTAAATAAATTTAACCAGGTTTTCAAAATTTAAAACAATATTAGTTACACGAAGGCCACAAAACAAACATCTGTATTGTTTCAACTGCAAAACAACATACATACGTACATACAAACATACATACATACAACATTTTTTCAACAATTTTTTACGACTCGACAAAATCTTCTTACTCTTATTTTTTAACAGCATGAAGAAAAGAAAAAAAAAGTGGCAAATTAACTTAGAACACGTTTGGCCGGACGCACACATACACACAAACATACAAGCATACATACATACATACACATACATACATACACATACATACACACACATACATACAAGCAGACACTCAGTTAATATATTACACCAATCACACGCCAAGGCACGTAAAAGCCATTGTAGATCTTTGCATGCATGCGTTCTTACACACACACACACTCACACACACACACACACACTCACACACACACATATATACATACACATAAATACACTGGCAAACGTTTAAAATATGTCGTTGCGTGTTTGAAAAAGCATTTATAACACCAATGAAATTGTTGTTGATACTTCGATGTTGTGATAAAATATGCTATCACCTGTATTACTATACAGCTATTTTGTATAATTCATTCATTCATTCATTCATTCATTCATTCATTCCTTTCATTCAGTCACTCTTTTCTTTCTTTCATTCGTTTATTCCTCCATTTCTTCGTCAATCGATCAGCACATCGCATAGATTTTTTTCTCTCTATCTCCACTGTCTACCTAGCGTCCATTTTTTGCTGGTACTGTCTCAAGCGTGTTTTTAGGTTGCCCATTGTGGGATAATGTTTTTTTAGAACATTCTGGAACATTCTGGAACATTCTAGAGCTTTTTAGAACATTCTAGAGCATTCTAGAACATTCTATTCTAGAACATTTTAACACACCTTAATAGGTTCCAATGCTTACTTCTAATTCAAAGTGGCTTTTCAAGAATTTAAATTATTTGTCGTGAATTCTCACACGATCTTACATACACAAAAAACATACATGTATATAAAAATACATGCATGCATACATACATACATACATACATACATACATACATACAACAACAACAACTACAGCAACAATTTTCTTGATAACAACACGGCTCGGTTTAATAAATGACAAGCCGTGAAATAGTTTTTCACTCACCTATCTCTTTTTTTTGAATTAACTTAACTTATGTGCGTGTGTATATATGTGTGTGTACGTATGTATGTATGTATGTATGTATGTATGTTGGTATGTTTGTATGTTTGTTTGTTTGTATGTGTATGTATGTGTGTGTAGTAAAATAATTGAGTACATATATACGGAGCATTTATGTTGTAAACATGTTAAACTGCGATCGTTAACGTCATCGTAAAGAACATCATGAAGAGTAAAAACATTTATTTTTTTTGAGAAATTTTTTTGTGAGAAAATTTATTTTTTGTTGTTTTGTAATATTTTTTTTGTTATTTGATTATTTTTTATGTGTTGTTGTTGTTGTTGTTGTTGTTGATGATGATGATGATGCTGTTGTTGTTGATGATGATGATGTTGTTGTTGTTGATGATTATGTTGTTGTTGTTGATAATGTTTTTGTTGATGATTTTGTTGTTGTTGTTGTTTTACCCGCTCTGGAATTTTACAGCCCTTTCATGTGTTTATGATGTCTAATTGAAGTTTCATTTCTTATTAATCTTTATTTCTGTATTTTTAATTATTTTGGGTGATCTTGGTTGAATTTTTCCTAAGTTTTCTTTGCATTCTTCTTGAATGAGTCTTCAGCAGAATTGCTACACGGACCGTGAAATGAATTAGATTAAAGATTTTGTCGGCAGCGCCATTTGATTAATGTTCTTTTTTGGGTTTTTCCATTTTTTTATCTACTCTCATTGCTGTTACTATATTTAGCCCATTTTATTTTCATTATTGTCTGTAATAGTAGTAGTAATAAAAATAGTAGTAGTAGCAGTAGTAGTAGTAGTAGTAGAAGTAGTAAAAAAGTGAGAAGTAGTAATAGTAGTAGTAGTAGTAGCAGCAGTAGTAGTAGTAGTAGTAGCAGTAGTAGTAGTAGTAGTAGTAGTAGTAGTAGAAGTAGTAGTAGCAGTAGTAGTAACAGCAGCAGTAGTAATTGTAGTATGAAAATTATCCAGTAATTTAAGCGTCTACTAATCTAAATATCTTACGTTATCTATTACAAATTATTAAAATATTAAAATAAATAATTATAAATTTTGATAATGTTAGTTTAAAAAAGAATTTTTTCAAAATAATTCAGATTATAACCGGAAATACAAACGCAAATGATGCGGTCACGAGGGTTCTATCTCCACCAATCATAGCCAGGGTCATTCGACTTCTACCAATCAGCAATCGGCAAATGTTATGTCTTCGATTAGAATTATACGGATGCACGTGGAAAGGTCTGCTTTGATTGGTTGATTG